CACTCGAGGGATGATAACATGATTAGATAAGACTCTTCACAGAAAGAAGAACCACCAAAACAAAGAAACGGGTCTTTTTTGGTTCCAAAACATTAAGAATTGATTACCCAAGTGAAATTGTAATCAGGGGCACTTATTTTTTTACCTGTTAATAAGTTAATCGATTACGTAATTGATTAACTAAATTTTTTTAATACTTAATATACATAGCTCAGTTAATCGTTTAAAGAGAGCACATGATGATATGTTTTGAAACGAAGGTATAATAATAATTTGTTATTTAATTAAGGCCAAAAGAGTCAAAAAAAACCCTCTTTGGAGATCATTAATTTTAAAGAAGGGTTAATATTTATTTGATAATTTTATCTCTATATATATATATATATATATATATATATATATATATATATATATATATGAGTAGATCTCATTTTTTTTCTTTTATCTTTATAAAGTCTCATCCACTTGCGTATGTTCACAAGATATAAAATTATCTTCTACTAGTCAGAAAAATATTAAATTCTTTTAAAAAACATAATATCTTTCAAGGAAAAATAACATTTCTAATAATGACGTTTAAGGACTATTTTTAAAATTGGTGCTTAGTTAATTTTGTAAAATGTATAAATTAAATAAATAATTTAAATTTAAAAAGATATACATAATTGATTCAACTGCGGAGAATACAAGAAATATATATTAAAAAATATTTGAAATTATAAAATAATTTAAAATTAATGAGATCTACATAATTGTGAAAGTTACTTTAAGACCTTTGAATTGAAGAATCTGTGTAGCCAATAATGAATGACAAAGAACAATTTGTTAAGTGATGTTTTATTTGGCATTTCTCAAAGCTTATAAAACTGAGAAGTTTGAGTCATGACTAATGAGTGTACCCGTCACCGCCTTGAAGGGAAAAAGGTAATTTTATTAGGGTGATTAGTGATTACACAATATGGACTTCAGGAATCAATAATTTACAGGGTGAAGCTTGCTTGGCCTAAAAGCAACTTGCAGATAATCGAGGCATTAATTGCATGTGCAATTGTGCATGCATGGGGAATGACCAAACTAGGCATAGTCATCTATTAGGCCACAGACACTTTTTACGAGTTAAATGAAGCATAATTTGTACCAAAAAATAAATAAATAAAAATGAAGCATAATAGCAAGTTAAATCAAACTAGGCCTGCCTCATTCTTTTTCTAATGGCAAGTTATATGTTAGGTTTTCCCATAAGGTAAGAAAAGAGTTAGCATGTCATGTAAATCGAGGTTGGGGTACCACATTAATCACTTATTAGTTTAACCAATGATTCATTAATTGAATCACTTAAATTGGATTTATGTAAAAATATTATATATATAAATCAAAATAATATGAGAAGTAAAGTAATTTGACTTAAGTGATTACTATTATTTTAAGTCCCAAAAATGCAATTGTAATGGAATATTTTGTCAAAGTAATTTTGCCTTAGTGGAATATTTTAAAAACCGGTTCAATTAGAAAATAGGGATTGGGTTAACATCTAGTGAGCCCGATTTTTGACCAGTTCACCGATTCTTGAATGGGTCGCATGCATGGCCAGTTAATTGACCAAATCTGACTGATTAATAGTTTGATTCCGATTCAATCGAGCCAATATTAATAACATGATTTGACTTACAAACTTGAACTTATGTGACTTCCATAATTTTTATTTTCTCCAACCAGCCATTCTCAAAGACATTGAAATTTAAGGTGTTAAGAAAGTAAGTACTGATTGGGGGTGGCAAAACGTGTTATAACTCGCGAGTGCGAATTTGGTTCTGGTTATTTCTGGAGTTCTACCTACTTTAAGAAAAGAAAAAATTGTCCGCAAAAATTTTGTTAAGTATAATTTCACAACAAACAATTCTTTAAAAAAAAAAAATTAAAACCACATGCAGTAGTTTATTTTCTTCCTCATAACTAGCTAGCTAAATTTTTATTACTCACTCCATTTTAAATAATTATCATTTAGAAAAAAAAATTATTTTAAAAATTAATAAAGTATTTTTAAAATTTTATTATTTTTCTTAATGTTTTTATTAAATAAAATAAATATATATATTAATAATTTCATACATTATTGCGTTACCTTGCTTTCCTAGTTCTGCCCTTCCCAATGGTTATGATTAAAAATATCTCATAATTAAAAAACAAAGGAAAAAAAAATCTATTCTTAGATTTAAATATATATTGACAATAATAGTAATTTTGATATTACAGGAAAGCAAGAGAGACATTAGGGCTTGTTTGGTGGACATGATAAGATAAAGATAAGATATGATATGAGACCAATAAGAGTATGATATGATATGGAGCTGATAAGCCGATATCATGTCTTGTGTTTGATGAGCACCTAATTAGCAATCTGATAAGATTATGTAGAAGGAGATAGAAAAAACAAAAAACAAAATATAATGCAATAAATACAAATACATTGGGTAGTGTTGAGATATATTGAGTATCCAATATAATCCAGCTTCCCTCATAGGATAAGAAATCATGTATTAAATAGAATAAAATGAGATAATAAAATAAATTAATCATATTTTATTAACCTACCAAATAAGAGATAAAAATAAAATATAATAAATTATCCTATTTTATCTTATTTATTACGTGCTTCAAACATGCCCTAAAACAAATAAAGCAATAGTATCACCTCGTGAATAAAAGATGAAAAGAAAAAGAATATGAAAAGACAGGGACCTTAGCGAGTGTGACTCAACCAAGACCAAGACCCAAGACAAAGAAGGGAACGAGAAGACGTCAGTTTTTTTTTGTTACACACTGGTAAATGCATGTACAGAGCGTAGTACGATGATTTTTTTCTCCTTTGTTTCTTGTTAAGAAATACATTTGCTTTATATTTTATGCTTTACATTGTTTAGGGTCCATTTCAAAACGGAATTTTGATCGATCCATCAGTACCGAATGCATGTTGAGATTCTTGGCTAGGAGGGAAACAATATCAGTAGGAGTTCAAGCAAGAAGTCTCACACATGGTGACCATGGCTTTATTGACATTATATTTTCCAGGTCCCTCGAAGACATTTTCATTGAAGATCTTTTACAAGGACAAGGTTTGGATTTTACATGGTGACTATTTAGTCCTAACTATTTGACTAATAAATCCACAAATGAAATAAGTAGGTTTAAAATTAATTGCGTAATTGGAAACCTTCACCCCTTCAATATTTTTTAATGAGAAATTTCAGAAACTTTTTTGAACGTAAAATTATTGTGTAATTTCAAAAATCATCTTTAAAAACTTAATATTACCGAACAATGGGTCATATAATATTTTATTAAAATTAAAATTATTTAGGTTTAATGAAATTTAATCATGCTTATCCGGTTGAGCATCGCATGATTATTTTATTAATAGGCCCATAATACGTCTGAAGGTTAAATTAATTTCTCAATTTAAATCTTCTCCCGTTATTATTTAGTTCCAATCTAATAAAATTCAATCATTCTAATAAATTTTATTATTTGTAGAATAGTTAATGCAATATGTGTTTTTTATATTTTTTTGTTTTGAAAGCTAAAAGTCAAAATACAAAACAAAAAACTCATATATATGTTCCATAAATTTGATTCTAAAAATTAAAAAGTAATTATAATTTTTAAAATTATTTTTACAAAATAGGCATTATTAAACTTTTTTTTCAATAGAATTCAAACATGCCCTTATTCACTTCATAGATCATATGAAATCACACCTGAGATAATTCATTTCCACTTTGTTTTTCACAATTAAGTGTCCGATTTAGATGAACTTTTATTTCTAAAAAAGTTGCTTTTTTTTGAAATAAAAATCATTTTGAGAATTTTTAGATGTTTGGATAACAATTTTTTAAAAAGTAAAATTTAAAATAAAAGTTAAAATGTTACTTTTTTTATAGCCAGTAGTTGGTTGCTTTTGAAAAAAGCAGAAATTAAAAGATAACATAATTTTTTTTAGGAAAAAAATAATATAAATTTTTAAAATACAATTTTAACCTTATCCTATCATACCTATTTTATCTCTCTTTATCCCACGATCATGCTATTTTATCTCTCTTTTATTGTAATTTTATATATAAAAATATTTTTTTTTATATTAACATCCAAACAACTTTTTCATGTAAAAGTGATTTTCTGATCATACATCCAAATGTAAAACAACTTTACCTTATAAAAAAATTATTTTAAAAAAAAGATGGATAAAAAGTCATTTTTTTTAAAAGTTCATCGAAACGAGTCCTAAATGGTTAAAAATTTTATCACTCAATTCATTTTAAATAATTATTATTTACAAAAAATTATCTATTCTTATTTTAAAAGATCAATAGTATTTTTTAAATTTTATTATTTCTCTTAATGCTTTTATTAAATAAAATAAAACATTAATAGATCGACTGTTCCTTTTTCAAGGTAATATAAATTTTATTTTCTTTTCGTCCCTCGTAAAAATTTCCCAGCTCTGTCATTTCCAATGGTTATGATTGAAAATATCTCATAATTAAAAAGCAAAGGAAAATAAAAAGTAACCAATCTACTAATTACTATATATTGGCAATAATAGTAATTTTGATGCTACGTTAAGGAATAAGAGAAACTAAAACAAAGGAAGAAGACAAATAGCATCATGAATCATCTCTTTGTGAAAAAAGGTGAAAAGAAAAAGAATACGAAAAGACAGGGACCTTAGTAAGTGTCTGTGACTCACCCAATACCCAAGAAAAAGAAGCATGTAAAGGAAGGTAACGAGGAGACCTTAGTTTTTTTCATTACACACAGACACAGGTCAATGCATGTACGGAACACAGTGCGATGATTTTTTCTCTCCTTCCTTTCTTGTTAAGAAATCCATTTGCTTTACACTGTATGCTTTACATTTTTTAGGGTCTATTTCAAAATGGAATTTTGATCAATCCATCAGTACCTACCGAATGCATGTCGAGAATCTTGGCTAAGAAGGAAACATGATGAGTAAGAGTTCAAGCAAGAAGAAGTCCACACCCGGTGACCATGGCTTCATTGACATTATATTTTCCTGGTCCCTCGAAGACATATTCAATGAAGATCTTTACAAGGACAAGGTTTGGAGTTTACTACAAGACCCTTAACTTCTTTTTTTGTCTTTTCTTTTCTTTCCTTTGATGAAACCATTATAAACTTCCAACATTTAATCAAATAATCACCATTAATTTGCAGGTTTGGTGTTGGTGTTAGGTTGGTAGCATTTACTTTAATGACTAGATGTTAAACTTGTTATTTACTTGAAGATTTTGCATTCCACTCAGAAAAGCATGTTGCTTGAGTCTCATCTTAATATGGTTTCTGTACTGTTTACATTTTTCAGGTGAAACATATTGATCAATCATTCGATTCTGTTAACCATTATTTTGGGTCCTTTGTGTACCCGTTGTTGGAAGAAACTCGAGCACAATTGTTCTCAAGTATGGAAATCTTATCCAGTGCACCTTTTGCAGAAGTAATTTCTCTTCAGGAGGCCAAATCATATGATAAGATACTCTATAATGTTAGAACTGACACCTGGAAAAATAGGTTCTCTGGTCATGGAAAAGAGCTATACAAAACATTGAGTGGAGATATTTTTGTTTTGGCGGATTTCAAACCTGAAACTTTCAATGATTTGCTAAGGGAAGGAAGGATGTGGACTTTTGTATTGTCATCTGGGATTGCAGACGAGAATATCGAGGATGATGGTACCGAAGTTATGTCTGCCTTTAAAGTCATTGCTTCTAAAAACATTGACCTCAATGAAGTAGGGCAAAAATCTTTGTTTATAGTATTTTTGACAAATATAATCCCCAACAGAAGAATATGGAATGCACTGCACATGTCTGGAAATTCGAAGCTAATCAAGAAAATTTTATGTGCTGGTGATGTGGTAAGAAAGTCAATTTTATATTATAGCTTTAAGTCAGTATTCCAAAGTTATATACTGTAATAAAATGATAAGCTGTTGCCATCAAACATTGTTATTGTGTTAATATATACCAAAGCATCAGACTGTAATAGTGTTCAGGTTATTTTAATATTCAGTGCTGATATTCTATTGTTATTATTTGTATTACTGTTATAGAAAGTATGTAGTGGGATACTCATGTATCAGAAGATTCACACCAACTAGTTTAATTGTTTATAAAATTGCAAATGACATTTTCTTGTTTATTTTCATGGGGACTATGTGTCATTTCTAAGTAGAACATATTTTAAATTTTAAATTTACATATTGTTACAACTAATTGATGTATGCTGGGGACAGGTTGAGGAAAGTTGTGATTACTGCTCTCTGCAGACTTATGATGATATAACATGTCAAAGGTTATCATCTGAATTGAATGAGTCCCAATATAAGGCAATTTGTGCTTGCCTTTCTTCCTTACACTGTAATCATAGGTCTACTGTGGATCTCATTTGGGGTCCACCTGGAACTGGAAAGACGAAAACTTTGGGTACACTGCTTTTTGCTCTGTTGAAGATGAACTATAGGACTCTTGTCTGTGCCCCAACAAATGTTGCCATTAAAGAAGTGGCATCGCGTGTCTTGAGCATGGTGAGAGAATCATTTGATAGAAAATCTGATGCCTTGTCCTGTGCATTAGGGGACATCCTATTATTTGGGAATCATGAGCGGCTCAAAGTTGGTGTGGACATTGAAGACATATATTTGGATTATCGTGTTGAGAAGCTGACAAGGTGCTTTGCACCACTTACTGGTTGGAGATGTTGTTTTGGTTCAATGATTGATCTTCTTGAAAACTGTGTTTCCCATTATCATATATACATTGAAAATGAGTTGAGAAAGGAGCAAGACCACATTGATGATAATAATATTTCTAATACAAAAGGTGATGACCCTTCAGATTGTAGTGAGAGGATGTGCAAATCTTTTCTGGAGTTTCTGAGAGAAAGGTTTCTTTCTATAGTATTGCCACTCAGAAACTGTATTTCTGACTTGTGTACTCATATAGCCAGAAGTTACATTTTGGAACATAACTTCGAAGGTTTGGTCTGCCTTATTCACTCTCTTGATTCGTTCAAAGCTTTGTTGTTTCAAAGTAATGTCATTTGTGAAGTATTGGAAGAGCTTTTTTCTCCTACAGAAAAGCAATATAGTTCTTTTGAGTCATTTGGGGGTGGCGAATACTTATTGTGCAAGAACAGATCTGAATGCCTGTCTTCTTTAAGAACCCTTAAAGGTTCACTTGGTGAACTTAACCTGCCGAATGTTTTGAACCAAGAATCAATTAGAGAGTTCTGTTTACAAACATCCTCATTAATATTCTCCACTGCTTCTAGTTCCTTTAAGCTTCATTCTGTTGACAGGAAGCCACTAAATGTTTTATTGATTGATGAAGCTGCACAGTTGAAGGAATGTGAATCAATCATACCTTTACTACTTCCAGACATAAACCATGCCATTCTTGTTGGAGATGAATGCCAGCTACCAGCAATGGTGGAAAGTAATGTATGTACATGCTACTTTGTTTTCATGCACTTTCTAAAAATGTTTCGTTTTGTGAATTTAATATCCCTGTTTCGTACATCTCCACCTTCTGAAGCCTAGATTGTTTTCCACTACAAATTAATATTTATTCTTGTCCTCATTCTGTCCAAGGTTTCTTTTGAAGTTGGTTTTGGAAGAAGCTTATTTGGGAGGCTGAGCTCATTGGGTCATCCAAATCACTTTCTAAATATACAGTACAGGATGCATCCAGCAATAAGTTCCTTTCCAAATTCACAGTTCTATTTAAACCAAATTCTTGATGCTTCAAATGTTGTGAGAAAGAACTATAGAAAGCAATATCTCCCAGGGCCAATGTTTGGTCCCTATTCCTTTATAAACGTAGTTGGTGGCAGTGAAGACTTCGATGATGCTGGGCGAAGCCGGAAAAATATGGTTGAAGTTGCAGTTGTGAAGAGAATAATTCGAAATTGTTTTGAAGGTATATATTTATATGAGTGTGTGTGTGTGCACGCACATATATCTATATATATATATTAAATTCTCAGTGGTAATCTATCTTGCTATTGTTTTTTTTCTTTTTCTTTCCTTTCGTAGGAGTATACTAGTCAGTAGAGAAAATATTCATTTATTGTAAACCTACATTTTGTAATTGACTTAATGTTTTTCACTAGGTAACATTAAGTATTAGTAACAATCATGCATCATGTTATTGCTTTTTCTTTGTAAGTGCATAGTATTAATGCGAAGAGAAAATATTCATTGATTTAAAAACTAGATGGTTATAATTGGCTTAATGTTTAACATTCCTTCAAGTGTTAGTAGTATTAACTATCAAGGTTTTATAACCTGATTAAGTTTATTGGAAAATAAAAAAAAGAAATTTGTGATGTTAAATTGTTTCTACTTTCTACTACTACAAATGTCCTGAAGAAAAGGACAGAAATGTGAATTGAATAAAATGTGAAATATACTAGTCACTAGATATTATTATTTTTAAATACCTAGTTAAGTTGTACAGATTTTCTGATAGTAATATACTGCCTGGTATGTAGCATGGCGTGTCTCGAAGGAGAACCTCAGTATAGGTATAGTGTCTCCATATGCTGCCCAAGTGCTTGCGATTCAGGATATCCTTGGACAAAACTATGATAGGAATGATGGATTTGATGTGAAGGTGAAAACAATTGATGGTTTCCAGGGTGGAGAGCAGGACATTATTATATTATCAACTGTAAGAACTAATGCCAGTACTTCACTTAAGTTCATCTCCAGTCAACAGAGGACTAATGTTGCTCTTACAAGGGCTAGGTAGAGCTTACTATGTACTATTCTTTTAAGTTTGAATTTGTTTTTGTACCAAAAAAAAGTTTGCATTTGTATTAATTGTGTAAAGCTGGTGTGATATTCAACAGGTACTGTTTGTGGATTTTGGGAAATGAAAGGACCCTCACAAATGAGGAAAATGTTTGGAAAGCTTTGGTGCTTGATGCTAAAAAACGTCAATGTTTCTTTAATGCGGATGAAGACAAGGATCTGGCTAAAAGTATCTGGAATGCCAAGAAAGAGCTAGATCAATTGGATGATTTGCTTAATGCAGATAGTGTCCTTTTCAGAAATTCCAGGTGGAAGGTATTTTGATTCTTGATCTTGAAATTATACTCAATGTTCATGTTGTTGATATTCTCATCATGTCTTCGACCTTTAGTTCACTTTCCCACTTTCATGTTTTTGCAGGTTCTTTTCAGTGATAACTTCCTAAAATCATTTAAAAAACTGCGTGCAGAGCGGACAAAGAAATCAGTTGTTAGCCTCTTACTCAAACTTTCTGGTGGGTGGAGACCTAAAAGGATGAAAGTGGACTTACTTTGTGGAAATTCATCACAAATATTGAAGCAATTCAAAGTTGAAGGTCTTTACATTGTTTGTTCAAGAGACATAATAAAAGAATCACGCTATACTCAAATTTTGAAGATATGGGATGTACTGCCTCTAGAGGAAATACCTAAACTAGTTAAGCGTCTTGATGGTATATTTGGAAGCTACACCGACGATTATATAAGTCGCTGTAGTGAGAAATGTTATGAGGGGTAAGTACTTTACGATGTGTTCTATTAGATCTAAGCTGTTAAAGTTAACTGATATGATGTGTTTTGCTTCTTTTCTAGGAAAATTGAGGTCCCATTGAGTTGGGAAAGGTCAGTAGATATCATCAAATTTAAGAATCTTGATACTAATGGAAATGAAGCCGAATTAAGTGGTTGGGATCAAAGAATTTATGTTGAGAATTCAAAGGTTGAGGAAAGTTTGTTATTGATGAAATTCTACTCCTTATCATCAGGTGTAGTTAGCCACTTGCTTTCTGATCGTGAAGGTAATGAATTGGATCTTCCATTTGAAGTATCAGACGAAGAACGTGAGATAATTTTGTTTTCTAAAAGTACATTTGTATTGGGTCGCTCTGGTACTGGTAAAACTACTGTTTTGACCATGAAGTTATTTCAAAAGGAGAAGTTGCACCATATGGCTGTTGAAGCCTCATATGGTATTAAGAGTGCTCCAGTTCCTTGTATGAATCATGAAAAAGAGTATGAAGAGAGTTCTTCTGTGAATGACAGGCCTGTCTTGCGCCAGTTATTTGTAACAGTGAGTCCTAAACTATGTCAAGCGGTAAAGCATCATGTTGTTCGAATGAAAAGGTGTGGAACTTCTACTATAGACTGCTTTTCTTACTCCTTTTTGGGTGAATGTCAGGCAAAATGTCTTGTTGAATTTGGCATAAGCTAATCTTTGGAATAATCTCTTGGAGTCTATCTTAGTATCTTACCATTATCTATCTATGTTTCACTTTTCAAATATTTGGATAAATTCAAACTGAATGTTTAACATTGGTATACTACATATATGCAAACTGGAAAATAATTTATTAGGAACATTTTGTATTGTTATATTTCTCCGCCTTTTTTTATAGATGTGGATTGTGGAAAATGTTTTCATGTAGAAAGAGAATTAGAGGGAAATTGGAAGTATTACAAATTTGAAAGTTATAAATCTATAGATGTGATAGGTTAGGGAAGAATATTTCATGGAAATGTGATAGTTCAATAAAATTTTACTTTATTTTGTTGCAAAAGTATAATCAAAGTTATAATATATAAATAAATATATATAAATAAATATATATATATATATATATATATATATATATATATATATGAGGGATCTTTGGAATGAATAAGTCTTGTATATTTAACATGCTCGTTGAATTTGAATTATTGTCTATGCATGGGACCAATTTTCCTTGCACTGAAATTCAACTTTAATATATTACAATTCCTTGCAAGGATTGAATTCTTAACTCCTAAAAGAAAAAACTATTAGGTGAAATCTCATGAACAATTTTAAATCTAAGGGAAAATAAATTAAGGACCAATACCATTTTAGACTAACTTACACAATAAATTAAATTAGTTAAGTTATTTGGTTGTCAAAAGCTATCTGTCATCTACTGGTAGTCAGGAAGACAAAGAATCTTATTTTTCACTGGTAACTATTATTTATTTGTTTATTTTATTTGTGACTGTTGCATTTTTTTTTCAGTCAGCATAGATTTCATTATCTTGTGTAATCCATATTGAATAATTTTAGCATGATATTATTTAGTCCATATATGATAATGTTAATTCTCAAATTTTAATGTTTTTTTTTTCTTGTTACTAATTTGGTTAGGCTTTTTTTATAGTTTGTGATGTTGTATAGTGAATCGTAATACTACTATAGTTTTGTTATTATTATTATAGTATATTTTTTTTTTCTGCTTTTTCTCTTTTTATCAATGCTATAGTTTTGTTATTTTTTGTCATGCATATTTGTTTACATATTTTTTAGATAGATGTTTAATAAAAAAACCTTTTCTCATTTTTTTAAGTCAAAAGATGGATTATAGATGAAATTTACCAACAATCTTTGTTCTCATGCACAATAAGATAAAATTTATGGCTCCAGCCCAATTTTGGCAGGATGAATTGCTGTTTTGGTAGTGAATTGCATAATAAGGTATATGGAAAGCTTCTTCTATCAGGTTATAATTTTGATATTGTTATCTGTTTAAGAAATTATGTAATGGTGTTGAAGTTACACTATTCAAGTGCTTAAATCTAGTTATCATTATGGTGTAAGTGCATGCCTTCATTAATAATTAAGTCCTCATGTACTTTCACTTAAATTTCGTTGATTTCATAATTTTTATGCATGCTTTGATTGGTATCTAATATTATTAAACCTTGTTATGCATACAGATCCATATGTGGTGGGGATATTTCTACTGAAAGCAGTTCAATCGAGGAAGATATTGTAGATGTTGATACATCAATACAGTTTAAGAATATACCAGATTCTTTTGTTAATCTTCCAACCAACTCATATCCACTTGTAATAACGTTTCAGAAGTTTCTAATGATGCTTGATGGGACTTTGGGGAATTCTTTTTTTGAAAGATTTAGTGACCAATCCTCTCATAGTCAGAACCTTGGTGTAAGATCTGTTGCTTTGGAGACCTTTGTAAGGAAGAAGGAGGTGACTTATGACAGATTTGATTCATTATATTGGCCCCATTTCAATTCCCAATATACTAAGACGCTAGATTCCTCCAGAGTGTTCACTGAAATCATTTCTCATATAAAAGGGGGTATACGAGCTGTTGAGTCTGGTGATGGTAAGCTAAGCCGTGAGGATTATCTTTCCTTATCTATAAACCGAGCCTCAAGTTTAGTCAAGGAGAAAAGAGAGGTCATATATGACATTTATCAGAGTTATGAAAAAATGAAGATGGATAAAGGGGATTTTGATTTGGCTGATATTGTAATAGACATTCATCATCGACTCAAAATTGAAAGATATGAGGGTGATGAGATGCAGTTTGTATATATTGACGAGGTGCAAGATCTAACCATGAGTCAAATTGCTTTATTTAAATATGTGTGCCAAAATGTTGAAGAAGGTTTTGTTTTTTGCGGTGATACAGCACAAACCATTGCAAGGGGAATTGATTTTAGGTTCCAAGATATAAAATCTTTGTTTTACAAGAAGTTTGTGCTAGAATCAAAGAGAAGCACATATGGCCAAGGAAAGGAGAAAGGGAAAATTTCAGAAATTTTTTTATTGAATCAGAACTTTCGTACTCATGCTGGAGTGCTGAAATTATCCCAGAGCATTATTGAGCTTCTTTTTTGTTTTTTTCCTCATTCTATTGATGTTTTGAAGCCTGAGACTAGTTTGATATATGGGGAAGGTCCAGTTGTTCTTGAATGTGAAAATAGAAAAAATGCAATTGCTACTATTTTTGGCAGTAGTGGACATGTGGGTGGGAAAATTGTTGGCTTTGGAGCTGAGCAAGTAATTTTGGTACGAGATGATTTTGCTCGTAAGGAAATTTTAGACTACATAGGGAAACAGGCTCTTGTTTTAACCGTTTTAGAGTGCAAGGGCCTTGAGTTTCAGGTTGTCACAAACTCATCTTATTTAATATATTTCTATGGTGTATGATATGTCATTTTTTTATGGTCTTCTGTGTCCTTTTCCAGGATGTATTGCTGTACAACTTTTTTGGCTCTTCACCCCTGAAAAATCGATGGAGGGTGATATATGAGTATATGAAGGAACAAGATATGCTACAACCTACAGAACTTAAGTCTTATCCAAGTTTCAATGATTCCAAACACCATATTCTGTGCTCTGAGCTTAAGCAGCTATATGTGGCTATAACTCGTACAAGACAGAGATTGTGGATTTGTGAGAATACAGAGGAGTTCTCTAGACCTATGTTTGACTATTGGAAAAAGAAGGGTCTTGTACAATTTAAAGAACTGGATGATTCACTTGCTCAGGCAATGAAAGTTGCAAGTAGTCCAGAAGAATGGAGGTCACGTGGCAAAAAGGTTGTTTTTATATTTGATAAATATATTCATCGAGCTATCAGAGTGATAAATTAAATTAACACTAACACATCATGTACTTTTTTTTATTTGATTGGTTCATTGTTCAGTGGTGACTTGTAAGGTATTATAAATTGCTTAGCTACCTACAATATCTAAGTAGCTCATGGATCATATCATGCTATATTAAAAAGCATACGGATTGGTTGCAGTTGCCAACTTTACCTGATGCAGTTATTATACAATATATGAAAAAATTTATAGCTCATTAATTTTTAACATTTTATCATAAAATCGAAATATTTAAGGGTGAGGGCAGATGATCTTGATCAATATCACAAGTAGGTTTATACTGTGTGAGGCATGGAGCAAATTTTTTATATCTACCATTTCTGTCTCGCAATTTTTCCCTCTGAATGATATTATACCATATTGACTGTTCCTTTGCAGCTATTTTATCAAAATAATTACGAGATGGCAACAATGTGTTTTGAAAGAGCAGGGGACTCTTATTGGGAGAGAAAGTCTAAGGCTGCTGGTCTTAGGGCAGGAGCAAATCGTTTGCATGATTTGAATCCTGAGGATGCAAATGCAATGCTTAGGGAAGCTGCTGAAATTTTTGAAGCAATAGGAATGGCTGATTCTGCTGCGCAGTGTTTTTCTGATTTGGGGGATTATGAAAGAGCTGGTATGAACTTGAGCTTTGTCATCTATGCCTATACTTTTATGCCATTTTTCTATGAACTATTTTATTGGTTTTAGAGCTTCAAGTATTTGTACATTAGGCATTAAGTAATTATTCAACAACACAAACAGCGAGTTTACCTACTTGGTCATGTCCTATGTTCATTGGCTGGGGTTACCCAGGTTGCAGATTGGAACCTGCTCAGAAGTAGAATAAAAAATGAAGAATGTTTATTTCACTAATGAATATAAAAGTTGAAACCCATAAATTATGTGGTCCTATGATATATGTCATATGCATATTAAACACTAACATTGGGAAGGTGTGTTCCATTGATGGAGGAGACCTATATTTATAGGTTAGAACTTCCTTAATTCTCTTCTACACTATCAATCATATCAATCATGTCTTCTTTTATTTAAAAATAAAACCACCAACAATGACATCACATCGGCAACCATCGTTGTGTGATGAGTTTACTTTATGGATACTGTTCTTGCCGTATCTATGGTTAATACATATTTTGAACCTCTGCTAGAGCCAGCTTACCCATTTTTGTGTACATTTATGGGTTTTTTTTCTTTTTCTTTTTCTTTTTTTTAATTTGCACATTAGCAAAATTGAATAAATACCTGTTGCTTGTTCTTGTAGTTTTTTTTATGTATCTATAGGAATTCTACTAATGCTAGATAATGTTACTGATAACTGTATATAAAAACACAGAATTGCCACCTAAGCTTGCTCATATTTTTTTAGGCTTCTTCTTTAAGTTGTGAACTTTTACTCTACAAGATTAATATTGTTTCTGCTAACAGGGAAGCTTTATTTGGAGAAATGTGAAGAGCCTGATTTGAAAAGAGCAGGGGATTGCTTTTATTTAGCTGGATGTTATGAAATTGCAGCTCAAGTGTATGCTAGAGGCAGTTTCTTCTCGGATTGTTTGACTGTTTGTGCAAAAGGAGAATTGTATGACAGTGGTTTATCTTACATTCAGCACTGGAAACAAAATGAAAGTGCTGGCCATGGTATGGCTAGAAGTCATGAACTATACACAATAGAACAGAAGTTTCTGGAAAGTTGTGCTCGTAATTATTTTGATCGTAAAGATACCAGATCCATGATGAAATTTGTTAGAGCTTTTCATTCGATGGATTTGAAGCGTGAGTTCTTACGACAATTAAGTTTACTTGATGAGCTTCTTGTGTTAGAAGAGGAATCAGGGAACTTTATGGAGGCAGCAAACATTGCTAAGATGATGGGTGATATTCTATGTGAGGCTGACCTGCTGGGAAAAGCTGGTAAATTTGTGGAAGCTTATGAACTTGTGCTTTTCTATGTACTTGTGCATTCTCTTTGGTCTGCAGGAAGCAAAGGATGGCCCTTAAAGCAGTTTGCACAGAAGGTTGAGCTTTTGGGAAGAGCATTGTCATTTGCAAAGGAAGAGTCAAACAGCTTTTACGAGCTTGCGTCTATAGAAACTGAAATATTATCAAATGAGCATAGTAATATTTTGGAGGTAATGATTCATTTGAAATCTTCTCGCAAGTATGGGATCGTCGGAGGTGAAATATTATGTTTATGGAAACTTTTGGATGCTCATTTTCAACTGAACTCCTCCAAGTATGTCTGGCGAGACAATATGTTCAATGATTCTGTGGAAGAAATTATTTTGAAGAATCAGCTTTCTGTGGAGACACTGTTTTACTGTTGGACATGTTGGAAGGATAACATAGTTCATATATTGGAATATCTTCCAAGTTTAAAATCCCATGACATTCACCAAAACAACAGTTATGGGAAGTTTGCATTGAATTTTTTGGGTGTTCAAAAGCAAATTTCTAATCGAAATGACGTCTACCTTTTGCTCATCCCTGATGCTAACTGGGTGATAAAATTGGGTGACAGATCTCTAAAGAAGAATGGAAGGCTGGTTTTTGTTGACGTTCAATCTTTCGTTTCTGCTGCTGAGAGCTATTGGCGTTCAGAATTGGTTTCTGTTGGCATGGATGTCTTGCGCAACCTTGATGCACTCTACAAGTTGTCAGTCAATAGAGATCTTTCTGAATTTTGTCAATTCAGGTCTTTGATGCTTATCTATGAGGTCTCAAAATTTCTCCTTGAATCCAAATGTTTTAGCCGCAGCTTTAATAACTTAAAAACATTGGAGAATTATCGCAGACATCCAATTGATCATTTCTTTCGCTATGTAGTTCCTCTAGACTGGAAGAAATCGCTGTCAAAAGACATGGTTTCCCTTAGGTTAACTGAGGCTTGTGAGGATTTGAGGGAAGAGGTCATCTATGAAAACATTAAACCAAAAGGTAAGCTAACTTATGGTCAAATTGGAAGGGTGGCAGTTATGATTCTTGGTACCGCTAATCCGAAAAATGAACTGTGTGTGGAGATCATAAAAAGATTTGAAGATAATCCTCCCTGGAAAGAGTTCATTCAGAGCTTGCAGTGGAATTCAGCAACTGAAATTTCACAAGGCAATAAAGCAGGTAAAGAGCTGCATCGCATATATAAGTTTTATGAAGCTTTGCGGTATACTTACAATGTGAACTGGACAAAGGAAGTTGACTATATATCTCCAAGTTGTTTTATGTATCTCATTGAACGCCTTCTGCTCTTCACATCTTGCCGGAAGGGGTTCATTTTTGCCTCAAAGTCATCTTTTGTTGAATGGCTTATTTACCAGGATGAAAATTCCCTTCTGAATTTGAGTTTATTGGCTGAGGTGCATCCAAATGTAGAAGATGTCCATAAGTTCATTGCCTATGTCCTCCGTGAGTTTCTTTATAATCAAAATGATACCAAAAATTGGATTAAAGAATCAAAACTAAATGTGAAGTATTATTTTCCGTTGTTTGTTCTGAGATCAGTTGTTTTGATATGTTTGCTTCACCTCAGCTCTGGTAAATATTTAGAGTTACTTCACGAGTTGTTGAGGAAGAGCCAAGTGACCACTCAACTGCCACTGGAATTTTATAATGTTCTTCAGAAAGGAAGGAAGCGCCTGGGTTTGAAAGTCTTCGCTGAGGCATTTAAAATGATTGACAATCCCTTGGTAGTTGTCAGGTTATGGAATAACTCTTCAGAAATTTTATGTCCAGATGCTGTATTTGTGGATTTCAAGATATGCCAGCAAAGAGAGCTCATATTACAAGTATTGTTTCCTAATACTGTTGACAATGTGGGTGGGGAAACTGAAGCAGTTATAGTAGAAGCTTCTGGCTCAACATCTAATGAGTTTCCTTCAACAAACTGTTCCAGTGTTCCAAATAACAGTTCTACTCCTGTTTCAAATCAGACATCTGATAGTGGGATGAAATATGAAATTAACATGTCTGCGAACGCTGACTACTTCTGGGATTTGTTGGAAAATATGCAGTTGGCAGTTGATGAATCAAGTCTCAATATGGTGTCGATAATAATAAAGGCAATCCAGTTTTTATTTTCTATTTTTTACTTTTGGATTGTGTTTAAATACAAAGTCAAAATGGCTTCAATCAAGGTTCCAATGTCTAAAATAATTTTTTTATTTCCTCATTTTTTTTATTCTCTCTTCAGGAATTTTTGGATCCTTGCATTGAACTTTTGATTTCTTCAATATCTGGAAGCTTGTCAGAGAACCCTGTTAACCTTGAAAACAAAACTGAATTGGAGGAGGTGGTAACCTTGCTTGATGAAATGAAGCAACTTTCTTCAGCATTGAGTGTGAAGTAAGTTATATAAGTAACTTGTTCATGTCATAAATTTTCTTATGAGTTTTCTGATTGCTCTTTCCAATCAGCAATTTAAGATTTATTATAGTAACAGATATTGCAATATTTTTACTACTTTGGTCATTAACCTTTTTTCTCTTGGATCTTCTCTAGTGATTTGGTGATTGAGAATCTTATTCCAGTGATTGGTGAACTTGCTAAGAAAATTCTTTTAAGACGACCAAAAGTAGCGCATGTCTTGAATCAGCTGGTGTTGATAAACAAGAAGAATAGCAATGTTGAGTATGAGACATCACAAGCCAGCATGGAAGCAGGCAATGATGACCAAGGGCAAAATGATTTGGAGGAATCCAAAGATAACATGTCCAAGAATTCCCAAGGTGCCATCAACTCAGGAAGTGGAAACACGAGGGAAAATATCAAAGGGAAGAAAAACAAATCCAAGAAAAGCAAGGGAGGAAAAAAGGGTAGGAAGTGAAATTGCACTTATGGGATCCTGTCAAGTTTTTTTTGGTAAATGTAGATGTTGTTGTGGTCTGTGTTGAAACTTCAAACTGTCTAGTTTGGTCTGTCATTATTGGAAATAGTTGTTAGGCACCAATAGGTTGGACCAAATGCTTAACCCGGCCAGTTTAATTGAAGAAAGTATTTTTAAAAATCTTGAATTTTTAAAGAGGTTTCGTCTTAAATTTAATAACTCACTTCATTGGATGGTGAAGTAGCAATCGTAGATGCCGCATGGAATATTAGCAATGGTATTCCGTGCATGAAATTATGGTATTGATAATGGCGATAATGATGACAGCGAGTGAGGGGTAGTAGTAGCGATAGAGTGCTGTAAGTGAAACAATAGGGTGGCAATAAATTGAGAGTGGATCTGTATGTTATGGATTACAATGATCTTGAGTTATTTTATAACTGCATGAGGTATAAGTGGTGTTTCTTTATGTGATGAAATTGTTCTATACAAGTTAAGTAAATTGAATGGTGGGACCATAAACTAGGCTTATAATTTTTCCAAAACTCTAAAAGAATTCACATCCCTAATGATGGTAGGGAATGCAAAGGGCAGCACAAATTCTTTTATGATTCTTATTAATTGGGTGTTTGGTAAGAGGGAAAAAAAATTGTCTGAAAAAAGAGGGTATGAAAAAATATATGACCATGTTTGATAGAAGGAAGAGTTAAAAGGGATCTGGACCAAGAGTAAAATTTTACCATGGATGGAGTGGAAAAAAATTTACTTTTGCGGTGGTAAAATTTTACACATAACATCAATAAAATTCATTCAATTTTCTTGAAAAATTTTTGATTTACCAAACATCTTTCTTAACTTATCCGGCAAAAAATTCTTCTCATCTTTGTTCCTGGTAAAAAAAAATTTCTTCTATACCAATCGTCCTCTAAAAGTTAGCTCAATTACATGTACGAGGCATTCCTTAGGAATTAGTTACACCAAGTCACTAAACATTTGAGTTTTTTCCACTTATATTCATTTCCTCAAATTTTCGAATGCCCACAAGTCCACAACCTCTTTCCAGTCTCTGCATTTCATTAGTATCACTATCAATCATAATGAACAGAATTGGTTTGTTAAAAAAAAATAAAAAATTAAGGGAGAATGATCATTAAAATCGAGATTTTGAAATATTTAAAGATAATTAAGGATTTTTTTATATTTTTAATCAGGTATCATTTATGAGTCAATTGAACATGTTAACTTTTCTCTTTAATTTTCTCGAAATAAAATTTAGGGGTGGACAAAAATGAAAAAATCCAATCAAAAACAAAAGAGACAACGTAAAAAAAACTAACGGATTGGCAATAAACTTCGATTGGATGGGTGTTCTATTTTTTTTTTCTTCTTCTTTTTGGATAAAATGGAAGCACATATAAATTGTGTCGGAAAAACTTTTTTCTTTTTCTTCTATCTGCGATGACAGGCACAAAAATATTCAACGTTTACACAAATAAGCATTCAAAAGAGGAATTTCATTGCCAAGTTAACTCAATTTGCCGTTATTACATGGCAACAAACCATACATTTGCATGTCACAAATTCATCCTCCATCACTATTGACAAATTCCAGAAAACAATTGTGGCAACTCCAACCATAGCAAAGTAGAAACTACCACCTGTGCAAAGTTTTCACAAAAGTATAGTGGAGTTCAGCAGAACTTAATTGTCATCCTTATTTCTCGATCATTATCACTAAAACATACAAATAAGTTTTACACCCACCCATCATTTAAGAGTGCGCTATAAAAAGTAAATGAATTTAACTGAGGTGCAGGTAATGAGAAGAATCAATCACCTACGAAGAACAGATCAGACAGCAAAACCTTGTGTTTTGTATTGTATCCTTCCATATGCTTATTTATTCCAATTGCCAAAAACACCTCAAATTTATTATTATTATATATTTTTTTTCAGCTCTCATCAGAACCAAACAATTTCATCCTTGACAAAGGGGATCTCAAGTACCCATCAACCTCAAACTTCTTGGGTGAAAGCTCCCTATACTTTGCAAACTGCTCCTTTGCTTCATCATTCTTATCAAGCAAACTATAAATCATTCCCCTACAAAAATAAGGCCTGAAATCCTTAGGATCCTCTTTCGTGAGTTGCTGATAAATCCCCAAAGCTTCATCCACATTCTTCTGCAGAAACTGAATCTGCGCCATTATCAACCTCACATCCCTCGCTTCCTTCTCCTTTTTATCTTCCTCAGCAACCCTCAGAGCCTCTTCCAGCCTCTTAATCACCGCTTCCCCTTCCCCACAACGATCCATCACCAACGCGTTCTCGAACAACGCCTCGAACGACAACGGATTCGCCGTTAGAATTTCCTCGTACAAATTGCGCGCGCTTTCGACGTCACCGATCTCGTTCATCAACCGAGCGGTTAGGAATTTCCAATCTGTTACCTCGGGTTGCGCTGAGACCAACCGTTTCAGGATCTTCAGCGCCTCCTCGTCCTCGCCGAGTTCGAGCTTCTGCTGCAGAAGAGACTTCAGAGCTTCCACGGCTTCGTCCTTCGTTTCAAGAAACTCGGATAGGGGCGACGTCGTTTTGCCGCGATCGATGTCGTTTTCCTCGAGGACCGTTGCCGGAGGTTCGGCTCTCGCCGGAGAGGCGGGGAATTTGACGGCGGAGACTGCGGCGGCGAAGAGTGCGGCTCCGGCGAATGTTTTGAGGTTTTGGAGTATGGGGTCGTTGGAGTTGGATGAGTGGGCCCTGACGGTGATTCGAGGGTTGTGTTGACGGCGAAGTTGAGGTAGGAAATGGAGATTGGGGGAAGAAGGTGGATTGGTGGAGTTAGAGTTGAAGGAGAAGATGGTGGATGAGGCAGTGGCTAAGGTGGAAGTCATGGTGGAATTAGGGTTTATGGAGTGAGTGTGGTTGGAGAAAACAAAGAAGAAAGAGCTATAACTATAACTAAGGGGTTACTGGTTAGGTTGAATCTGGGGTTTAAACTGCGTCGTATTGGGTGGTTAGGTGTGGCTGATTAGGTGATTTTATTTATTTAATATTTTTGTGTCCCCAGACTCCCCACAGTTTTTTCCATTTGTCTTGCATTGCCAAATTTAATAGTATATATTTGAATTCTCAACTATTAAGGAAAATATACATAAAACAAAAAAAAAAAAACTTTTGTGCGAGGTATTCGAGGGACGGAGGATCTTATGAGATGCTATTATGATACTATTATTATTCTCAATAGAACTAACATAATAACATTTAATGCGACAGCACAAATAAAGTAATACAATATAAGTAAGTGAGTCATAAGATATTTCGTGATTTAGTGCTTTTTGGTTTTTTGGGTTAGTTTTTTAAATTGTTTTATGGGATTAGTGTAATACAATTATACAATATCAGTAAGTGAGTCATAAGATATTGCGTGATTTAGTGCTTTTTGGTTTTTTGGGTTAGTTTTTTAAATTATTTTATGAGATTAATATTTATTATTTTAAAGGAAATAAAATTATTCATTTTAATCAAAATTAATATGTTTTATGGTGAGAAAAATAATTATACTATAGAAATTATGACGAGAGAAAGTGATAAATGTTTTTAATTAAAATATTAAATAAAATAATTTTAATTAAAATAATTGTCCTTTAAATGACATATTTTTTTCCTTATTTTATACATCATAATTCATTAAAATCTTAAATAAAATAAAATAAAATATTATTTCAATTAAAGATAGAAATTAAGAGATAAGTTTATCTTTAACACGTTCACAAAAATATATAGGATTCATATTTTCTTTTTCTTTTTTTTTTTACACCAGTCTTATTTATTTTTATGTATGTATAAAAAAAAATTTCAATACTACGAATATATCAACCTCTCCATACATGTGAAAAAAAAAACATTATACTACCTTGCTTAATGTTTATTCTCTTCCGTATCCTTATTTTTTTGGTTTCTGGTAAAGATGTTGCACTTGCACCGTATATTTACTCAATGCACGTGAGGAAAGAGGTCCTATAACTTTATGAGCCAACGCGAATAGCACGTGTATTGTAGCCCCAAACCAGAACGAACTCCTTCCTAGCTCCGTCGTCATCCGCCAACCGTTGTCGTTGGCCACGCGCCGCCGTACGTCTCTCAAATATTCCTCCATCTCCGCCGCCGGCCTTCCGATCTGGTGCGTTCTATTTGTCCTTTGTTCTGAGTTGTGAAATTTGGGATTTAGTTCTTTTGATGCTGATACTGTTTACGTCGATCCTCTTATGAGGAATTTCAATGGATAATTCATTTAGATCACTTTAAACAGCGATCAGATTGTTGAAAATGTGCTCCAATTCGCATTCCGTTTCTCAATTTATAGATCCTAATGTTCTCGCTGCTTTTGTTTTCGATTGGGATTAATGACAAGTAATGGATCATGGTTTCAATTGTTCACATGTACAGTGTCTAAGATCTGTGATTATTTCCTATTCGGAAGTATTCAGATTGACTTAGAATTACGTTTTTCAACTTGAAGACATTTTGGTATTCCTGTGGGAAAATGGGGATAAATTATTCAGGGAAGAGTTTTGTGTGAAAAACCCGTTGTTGAAATTCTCATCCCAAATTTTAAGGGGATACTAAATTGACTCATAGTAATGAATGGATAATATGCATTTTTTTTTGTTCAAAACTATTCACTTTCTAATACCTATGGCTAGTTAACAGTCTCTCCATCTTTTATTGTATCTTCAGTCATACCAAATGGCCAACAGAGTTCAAATTCCTACCAACAATTCAGCACTTATTGCCATGATTGCAGATGAGGTAAGAGTGTGGCAATGTCATACATGCTTTGCTGTAGTCTTGACTGTACGTGTTTGTGATGCATGCCTTTAAGATTTTCCTCAGCACATTTAAATTCAGATTGTGAGGGTTGAAATAATTATTGATTGAGGAAATTAACTTTGATATTAACAATTCACTACCTACACTTCAATTTGTAACTCAGGAAATAGAGTATGCAAGTTGAATTATTGTTATGAGAAATGCTAACAACACATTCTTTCCAAGATAATCTTTATTATTGAGTGAATTTTATGTGAGTCCTACTAAGTACTAAATAACTTGGGTCTGCTCTCTGGGGCTAGGTAAGGCTTAGGGTTTCTTGAATGGATCAGTCTCAGGGCCTAGAAAATCTGTGGATTGATATGTTATTCAGGATATATGAGAGCAAGGCTTTAAGCGATGAGATGGGTTAAGCAGTCAAGTTGGTGACAGGTCCGATGCTGTGAAAGCTCCTAATTTGGCTTTTATAATATGACAGTTCCTTTGGGTAGATTCAAGCAAGAATTACTAGGCTTTGAAAAATAAAATAAGCATGATATTATAAGTTCGTAATGCTCGTCCAAAGAAATTACATTTATCACCTGATAAAACTGAAGAAAAAGATTTAGAAAGTGAGAAAAGAGGAAATTAACCCAGGTGATACACTTAGGCATCACACATTGGGTGTGATTGCATTACACACATAGTCTCGAAGAGTGCAATTTGCTGCAATAACACATAAGTTGATCATTTATTGATATTTTGGTAGCTGAATGCATCGATTAGATAGGAGTATAGGGCTTATAAAAAATTCAAAACTTAGGAGCTAGTAGTCCTAAACTTCAGGTTCAATCACCCCAAGTCAGATATCCAGCCACTAAATAACATAAGGTGGCGTTTGGTTGAGGAGAAATTTTTTGAATACTAGGAAAATGAAATTGATAGGGAAATGGTTGGAAACTGAGTTTGGTAGGAAAATGTAAAAAAAGTTGTTTGGTTGAGTAAAATTTTACCAGGAAAATTAAGTGAAATTTGTGAAGAGTGTGTTTGGTTGAATATAAAATAATGATGGGTAACTATTTTGAATTTACGAAACTATCCTTTTAAACATTGCCCTTTTTTTTTATTTTTTTATTTTGAAACCCTCAGCCTTCACCACACACTACCGTCATCCTCCTTCTCTTCACCACCTCATCGTCCCTCCAAAGCCCATCGTTCCACCATGACCACTGCACCCAAACCACTACCCCACCTCATCGTCCTCCTTCCATCAACCCACCACTAACAGCCTTTACTTTATTTTTTTTTGTGAACCCACAACCACACCGCCGACCACCATCTCCATCCAGCCACCACCGTTCAGCCCCCCATCCTATCTTCATCTTCAACAGCCCATCACCGCCCCTCCTCTTCTCCTAGCCAGACAAACCAGCCATACCCCCACCTCAGCCAACCGATCCATCTCCAAACCGAGATAATATCAGAGGGTATTTTCGGTTGATTTAAAATTGCCTTTTGCAATTTAGACGGCTGTCCACCAAAAACCACCTCCCTTTAATCTTTCTGAACAGTGCCAATTCCCTGCTTTCATCAACCAAATGGGAAATGTCATGCAAATGGAATAGATGGGCATCGTTGCCAAATCCGTCTACCAAACAGAGACAAAGTGGATGCCCAAGTTCATTTGCATGGGGAAATTATAGGAACTCCTCAACCAAACAGCACCTAAATGGAATACCAAATAGATAAAAACAAAAATGAACACCCACAAACTTAAAACCCATACATTACAAACTAAATACCTAACTTTACAATCTTAACAGTAAAGAACTGAAATATCGCTATTGCTGAAAAGTAATAATAAAATTAAAAATTAACGCCTTTCTAATCTTCATAGCTAAAACCAAATTTAATCTAGTGAGAACTGTAACATTACAATTAGCCCCAACAAATTGAAACCAACTCGTGAGATATTTTATTCTTTAAGCTTATGTTTTTTATATTTTAATGCTGCATGCACCAGGTCCTCTTTCCATTGTAGATGTAATTTTTCATAATAGGTATTCCTTATTGAAATAATTAAGTGCTTGTTTGGCATGTTTTAATTTTAGCTTCTCTTCTCCTTAAAAGAAGAAGCTTAACCAAATATAATTTTATAAAAGCTCTTATTATAAAAAGAGCTTTTTTTGTAATGAAGAAAAGAGCTAAAAACTAAAAGTTTCCGGAAGGAGCTTTTTTTTAAAATGTATGCCAGCTTTTTCGAGTCCTTATATTTATTTTACAGTTTTACCCGTATTCTAAACTTGTATTTATAAATTTTATCCTTTACCTGAATAATCCATCCTAATAATAAATTATTTCATCTCCCCTTCTTCAAAACCATCATAACAACTTTATATAATCACCAAACAACTTTTAGCGTCTTTTTTTTTTTAACTTTAGCTTAAAAGTAGATTTTAGTTTAAAAAAAAAAGATGTGCCAAAGAGGCTCTAAAACGTCTTGAAGGCTTATCATGATGACTACTTGATTTTACACAGGATACTGTAGTTGGGTTTCTGTTGGCTGGAGTGGGAAATGTTGACTTACGTAGGAAGACAAATTACCTCATTGTGGATTCAAGTAAGCCACTGAACTATATTTTACTCGTTATTCTGTATGCATGACTGGTATCAAACTCTCCTAAACTACAATGTTTTTTCTTGTTAAATTTTACATCATGAAGTGACTCCCTACCTGTTTAACTACTGTCCATATTGTGATAGATACCCAATAAAAAATACGCCTATGTGCTTGTATGTTCTTATAAAGGCTTGTTGTTTATTAAGACATCGTAAGAATAGGGATGTACTTCTCGTAAATGTGATATATTGAAAAGTTAAGTTTCTATATGAAGTCCATGTTCCTTATCCTCAGGACATGATAAAGGATAGATAATACATTTCATATCCTAGACACTTAAGAAATTTGCATATCACACTTTTGTTGTACATGGTTTATTTTTATTTCTTTCTCACTGGATATTAGTAGATATTCTAGAAAATAGAAACTATGAGCTTGATCAGGATTAAAACCTCAGGTAATACTTGGTTTACTACAGATCTATAAGATATCATTTTTTTGGCTGCTGATAGTGTCAAGCTTTGAAGATTCCCCCACCCTATCTCTTTATCTTTGGTCAGTTTGAAATCAAGTTTATTTTACTTTAAGTTTTTATTTTATCTCTTGGCTTTGATTTTCAGAAACAACAGTCAAACAAATTGAGGATGCATTCAAAGAATTCACTACAAGGGAGGATGTTGCAATTGTACTGATTAGCCAATATGTAAGTCATATTTCATGGCTCAATATACACACACAAAAATGGCTCAGGCTGTTGTGTGCTTGCGTCTTAATTAAGTAAACAATATATCTGCAATTGTTAGTTCCTACTTCCTAAGGCCTGAAACATGAACTTATTATTTCCTAAAGCCTATTCCCTTACCCTTACCTATTGTAGTTTAGCACGTGCTCTGCCAGGTAATCAAAGTTATTGTTGTGAGAAATCCTGTAGGAAATCTATTATTATTCGCTGCAGCAGGTTCCAAAACATACATACGAGGTTTTGAGTGAACAAATTGCTCAATGAATAATGCTATACAATGATGGAGTTTTTCTTGGACCGACCAATGGGGCTATATCAGTGCCATTCACTCATTAATTGCACTGCTTTTCTAAAGTCCTCCTGTGGGTTTAAATGTTGCCAAGTAATCTGGTTTCTCACATTTGGTGCAATTCTTAGTTGGGCCCATTTTTTCTTTTTCTTTTTTTTTGCTCATTCAGCCATCTTGGTATCGTACCTGAGGTTCAAAAAATATTTCATGCACTTTGTTCATTGTTTGGGCACTTTCTTGCTCATTCGACTTTTGCCTGTGAGCTTGGGTTATGACCCTGCTATTTCTGTCCCCCACCCCGTATATCTGCATGTTTTGGACAAATTCAAAGATCTTATACTCTCTTTTACTGTGCAGGTTGCAAATATGATACGGTTTTTGGTTGATAGTTATAACAAGCCTATTCCTGCAATACTTGAAATCCCTTCTAAAGACCATCCTTATGATCCTGCAAATGATTCAGTTCTTTCACGAGTAAAGTATCTCTTTTCTTCCGAATCGGTGGCATCTGGGAGACGCTAAATTCACCCTTTTCAGTTACAGCTGCGGTTGTTCATTGTTTTTCTTTGTACATTATGTTTAATAATCATTTCTTAAAATTCATGTTCTATGTAGCTTAAATAATTTCTGCTGTATGCTGTTATTTTAAAAATCCTCTCATAGAACTTCAAGATGGGCGAATATTTTACAGTGTCATGTCAGACTCAGATGAAAGATTCATATGAAATATGCGCTTATGTCATCCCTCTCTGACTAATTTCAACCGTCTGATTGAAGTTTGCATGTTGTGACATGGTATGGTGTTGTTTGGCAATGCCTAATTCAATGCTTTCATCTCCGCAGTCTCATTCTCTTCAAGCAAAGGCATACTTTTTCAAAAATTTGATTAGTGTCACTCTGGTCGACTGGGTAAAATTGTTCTTATTTGCATTGTAATTGTTAGAGAAATATAAAAAACGTTAATGTAATCTTAATCAATAGTTTAAACTTTTGGGTTGAAATTGTTTTTATATAGTATATCAGCTGATATAAGTGGTTATAAGTTCGATTATTATTGTTTCTATTCAATTAATAAAAATAATTAAATATTGTGAAATTTTTTTAGTACAAATAGGTTGGATTTGATGTATCATTTATGCTTGAAGACTATTGAGTTCTTATGTGAAGGGATTGCTGTAGTTTTTATCCAATAGATTAAATTTTTGAGTTGAAATAATTTTTTATAATAATAAACTAATAATTAGTAAGAAAACATGGATAAAAGGCGTGGTTGGTTAACAATAAATTTTATCAAATTGCAAATATTATTTTCCAGATATTGAAAAGAATGCCAACGGTTCATTGTATGCCTCCAATCAGATGGACCATATGTTCAGTTGCAGCTAGACTGGGTCCTGGCTAGTGTATTGTTGAGTGGCTTTCTAAGTTCCGTGTTTATCATGCTACTTCTTAGGAGTATTGGTGGTTTAGATTGGATCGATTTTGAAGTAAAAATCATTTGATCCAATTCTTTCAGTTTGATTATTTAATCATTTATTCAGTTTTGATTTTTTTTTTAAATTCAATCTAATTTTATTCGATTTGAATTGGATCGGTTTTCGATTTTTTGAAAAGTCTAAAATTTAAGTTATATAAATAACTAGTTATATCAAAATAAAGTCATTCAAAGTTACAAACCAGTGAAAAATTCAAGTCTTCAAACTAAAACAAGTCTTAAAACTCATGAAAAGTTAAAATAGATTGTAGACAAATAAAAAACTAAAACAAGATAGTTTGTTATCAATAACATCCAAAATTTCAAGTCATCGTCTTTTGAAAATAATAAATACATAATATATTGGATTGATTTTCACAAACCAAATCAAAAATCGATCCAATTCAATTAAAATATGCAGGGTTTTTTTTTTGGTTTTCAGTTATCTGTTTTTTGGTTCGGCCACCGCGATTTGAATCGGTTTGGATTGGTTGATGAATACCTACTACTTTTTTTATCTGATCATATGCATTTAGGTTTCAGAACATGTAGAGCAGATAAGAGGACTGTGAAGAAATTCAAGTAACATTAGAGACTCGTGGAAATGAGCTTTTAGATGCATGATGCTTCTGATAAAATTAAATCTATTGATGGTGTGGCATTGTATAGGATAGGCGTAAATCTTCTTTTGGCAACATTGAAAGCAGATTAACAAGCAACAAGAGCAACTTCAACCGGTGAGTAACAAAACACCTACTGCTGACAAACAGTATGTCAGGTTTGTTGGCATATGATATAGCTGAAGGTATATCATCAGAAACGCGGAAGCGCATCGTACCGATGTGATGAAGAATAAAGACACCGCTTTGATTACCTGGGGTGAAACAGCGAGCGTGACAAATTCTCATGTTCAGTTCTCCTTCTCAAGCCTCACGATCTGCAACAACGCACCACGAACAGTCGCAATTTCGCTCTACGGTTGATCTTCCAGGCTATGACTCAAGGGGATCAGGGGGTCGTGTGGGCAAATGTTCAGATGATGAACGTCTGCCTCTTTGATGTGTTTCTGATGTCTGTAACCCTAGGAGGCACTAGAGAAAAAAGAGAGTTTATATACCCTGCCCAATTCAAAACTAACCCTAAACTTCATGGGTTAAAATCAGACTTTGGGCTCACTCTCACTAAAGCTATTGGGCTTAAGTGAAAAGAGCATACTAAACCCAACAATCTCCCACTTGCTCTTTTGGACACAAACTTGAGTTCATAAACCCAAGACTATGTAGTCTAGCCATCATTATCTGATTATACAACTCATCCATTGTCTCAAGCTAGCCTGGGGATCTACCATATGTCACTCATCAAGGCTCTTGATAATCTTTGAAAGATTATCTAATTCGGCACTACTCCACTAAAAGCCCGAACGTGAACTCCAAGATTAATGACCTTTATAACATGAATATGCATTGCTCCTTTACAGAATGTCTATAATTGATTGATTAATTTTCTGTAACCTAATCAATTATTTATTCACTTGACTATGATAGTTTCTCTAATGGATTAATTGCACTGGCTAGTGTCTTTAATATCCGAGTACTGAAACATATCAAGAGGATATTTCCTATAAACTCCTTGTTGTTTATCTCATAAATACCGATAATCAAATAATCTCACTCCAAAAATATTGAGTTATTGGACGTCATTAGATCGAACCTCACTCGTTGGTAAATCAAAGAATGAAAACTATTTGATTACCTATTTATAATAAACTCGGGATTAAGAACAATCACATAACTATAGTTAACTGGAGATTTGATACCTTATGACAGAAAAACAAGCTTAATCAAATCTCTCCTTGATCCTTTCAGTGTGAATGTTAATTCACACCAATATTTTACAATGATTCGGACAAAACCATTTCATAAAATATTGCAGCCTAAATATAGTGCCCAACTTTATTTAACAGCTGTGAATCCATTAATCAATTGTGAGAACCTATGATCATGTCCTCCATGAACGTATCCATATGATTATATACTCCACAGTTTGATCCGGACCTTGATGTTTATAAATAGTGCGCAAAATAAATAAATAAAACCTTATTTATGAAATTCAGAAAATGATTTCATTGTTTCATCGTCTTACTCCAAGAGCACAATGAAACCAATAGCTCCCACTTGCTTAATGCAAGTCTGGGATCTTCCTAAGACCCAAAGAAGTAATATGCCTCTTGAACACAAGTTTAGGCAAACTCTTAGTAACTGGATCTATAAGATCCACCTCTATTCATATCCTAATTGAGTAAAACTCATAGCTCGAGGTTGATTTTCTTGAGTCAATATACACTTGAAATAACTGAATTTGTGAAAACTCAGCTTTTCAAGACTCCCACTAGAATATACCAGCATATAATCTCTCGTTCTCCAAAGATACTTGAGTACATGCTTAACAATAATCTAGTATTCCTTTAGGTTCAAAATGGTACCGTCTCACTACTCCCACTGCGTGACAGATGTCTAGTTTAACGCCCAACATGATATACATGAGTCTACCTTTGCCAAAGCATAAAATATCCTGCTCATGCATTCTTCCTTCTTAGGAGTCTTTGGTTACTCCTTAGAAAGATGAATTCCACATTTGAGAATTTATAATTCTTCTCTTAGAATTCTCATGTTGAATTTTGGCAAGAGTTTTGTCAATGTAAGTAGCCTGAGGTGATGCCAACAACTTATTCTTCCGGTCTCATAAGAGTTTTAAACCAAGAATATAATTGGCTTCTCCAGTACTTCCATACCAAAACACTAACTTAGCTAACTCTTTATGCTTGATATTACCTCCACGTTGTTTTCAATAAGGAGCATATCATCTACATAAAGTACCAGAAAAGCTACTGTCTTCCGTTGGATCCTTCACATACAAATACACATCATTCATCAAGTTTCTCTCAAAATCAAAATTTTGATAACCTGATCAAAACTGATGTTCCAAGACCTGGATGCTTGCTTAATTCTATGAAATAGGCTTTCACAACTTGCATACCATGTGTTCCTACCCATTTGTTATAAACCCTTTTGGTTGTTGTATGTAGATATCCTGACATCCAACTCCCAAAATGAAATCTCATAATTGAGACTTATAGCAACTAAGAGAATTTGGATAGACTCAAGCATGGCGTTTGGCAAAAATTGCCTCCAAGCTAGCTTTGAAGGTTTTCACCTTCCTGTCCATCATCTCTTTGCCTTTTATGTCCACATGCACCTTGTGGGTTTTACCCCTCTTGGTGTCTTTATTAGGATTGAACGGAGTTGAAATACAAGTATTTCATCTCATTGTTCATAGCTTGAGCAACACTTGATCAACAACATCTTCTAGTGCATTATCGTAACTAGTAGGATCAATGTCACTCAACAAGAGACAACTTGAGAGTTAACAAGGTTCTCTCCCACTACGAATGTACTGCACTAGACCTTGTGTATTTATAGGTAAAATAAAGAGTGGGTCAAATGATGGATCCACAATGGTGAACTTCAATTTCTTGAGGATCCGCTTATTTTTGATATTGTTCCTCCACATGTGATACTAATATTTCTACTAGTTTCACTTATATATTATCATGTTGAATTTCCAATTACGGTTCTCTTGTTTGTTCACCTAGAGATATATTTATCCCCTCTTGAACAATCAAGGGAACAGTGGATGAAGCTTCTAGAGATTCTGAAAATTCTTGATCTGAGATAAATCTCATCAAGAATAACCTTATTTAAGAGCTTATAATTTCTCATCTAGTCCTCCTTTAAGAAAATCATGTGAGTGCTCACTTAGATTATCTCTTCCTTAAGACTAAATAAGAAATTATCCCTAGTTCTCTTAGGGTAGCCAAAATATATGCACTCTTCCATACAATATTCCATCTTATTTGACTGCTGTTGTAAAATGTGTGTCGTAGCACCTAAATCCGAATATGGTTTGATCTGGACTTGCACCCTTTCCATAATTCTTTAGGTGTCTTTACAACAAACTTTGACGGAACCAAGTTAAGAAGGTACATTTCCTTCTCTTAGGCATCTCCCTATAACAACATTGGCAAAGATGAATAACTGAACATGATCTTCACCAAGTCTAAACTGTTTAATTTTTGCATACTGCAACTTCATTCAACTAATGCGTTCTTAGAATTGACAGTTACGAAAACCATCCCCTCTTAAATCAGGTAAAACCTGAACTTACCAAACATGTAGCTAACACTTTAGTCAGACCAAAGTGTTTTGATTTGAACACCTACATGTTTTTATGCGTCGGACTTAAACATCTT